GAACAGAATTGAAAGCCCAGAAATAAACCACACATTTACAGACAGCTAAGCTTTGACAAAGGAGTCAAGAAGATACAATGGAGAAAGGAAAGTCTCTTCAATAAATGGTGTTGGGAAAACTGGACAGCCACATGCAAAAGAATGAAACTAGACCATTATCTTACACCAAACACAAAACTTAACTCAAAATGGATTGAAGATTTGAATGTAAGACCTGAAACCATAAAACTCCCAGAAGAAAACATAGGCAGCACACTCTTTGACATCGGTCTTAGCACTACCTTTTTGACTATCGTGTCTTCTCAGGCAAGGGAAACAAAAGAAAAAATAAACAAACAGAACTACATCAGACTAAAAAGCTTCTGCAAGGCAAAGGAAACCATCAACAAAATGAGAGACAACCCACCAAGAGAAAGTGTTTGCAAATCATCTATCAGAAAAGGGGTTAATTTCAAAAATATGTAAAGAACTCACACAACTCAAAAAAAAAAAAAAAAAATGAATAACCTGATCATAAAATGGGCAGAGGATAGGAACAGACATTTTTCCAAAGAAGATACACAGATGGCCAACAAACACATGAAAAGAGGTTCAACATCATTAATTATCAGGGAAATGCAAATCAAAACTACAATGAGATATCACCTCACACTCGTCAGAATGGCTGTTATTAAAAAGACAAGAAATAAAATGTTGGAAAGGATGTGGATTAAAGGGAACCCATGTACACTGCTGGTGGGAATGCAAACTACTGAAGTCAATATGGAAAAGAGTATAGAGATTCCATAAAAAATTAAAAATAGAACTACCATATGATCCAGCTATTCCACTTTTGGGTATTTATCCAAAGAACATAAAAACACTAATTCAAAAAGATATATGCACCCCTATGTTCATTGCAGCATGATCTATAATAGCCAAGACTTGGAAACAACCCAAGTGCCAATCAACAGATGAATGGATAAAGAAGATGTGGTGCATATATACAATGGAATACTACTCAACCATAAAAAAGACAAAATCATACCATTTGCAACAACACGGATGGACCTTGGGGGTATTATGTTAAGTGAAATAAGTCAGACAGAGAAAGACAAACACCATATGATTTCACTCACATGTAGAAGGTGGAAGAGAAACACACACGTAGATACAGAGAACAGATTGGTGGTTAACAGAGAGGAGGGAGGGAGGGGGCTAAAGGAGTAAAGGGACATGTGCATGGTGACAGATGGCAACGCAGTCTATACAGAAGCCAAAATATAATAATGTACACCTGAAATTTACACATTGTTGTAAATCAATGTGACCTCAATAAAGTAATTAAATGGAAGAATCTCTTAAAATGTAACACCCCAGATGGAAAGCAACACTTCAGGAGTTGTCTGACTTGCAAAGAGTAAAGCAAGGGCGTTACTCTACGTTTTCAGCAAAAGCCCAGCATCTCTTGCAACCAACTGCCGAATACAAGCTCTCCAGGGCTGCAAGGGGCCAGGAGGTAGTCTCAACTTGACCTTTAGGGTGGGGTATTTCTTCTTTGCTCATAACCCTTAAAGCTCGCCCTCAAATTTAGAAAATGTCTACTCTGAACCTGGTGACTGGAAAATAAATATTTAGCGTTTTACATGCCATTATTTCAAGCCCATGGTATTTTGGCTCATATTTATGCCAATAGATTTTCTCTATTGTATTACAATCATTAATCTAGAAGCAAAGATGCGTAGAACATAGAGAGATACAGTGTTATATAAAAACGCACTGATGGTGAAAGTACCTACTGTAGGATATTATGTACATTTTTAATAAAGTTTTTGTTTTAGTTCCATTTCTGGGCTGGTTATTAAGGAAGAGGGGTTTAAATGCTGCTTCAAATTTCTTTGCTCCTTGGAAAATGTCACTCTGCCATCCCACACAGCTAGTCCATTTTCGCCTTTGTGGCAAAATGCCTTTGTGTGTGGTATGTACAAGGTCACAGGAGGTTGTCCTAAGAGTCTCACGTGTCCAGGTGTTTTTCATATCAACAAAACGTGACGTGGAGGTGTCCTTTATTGTACTGTGCTCCAGTCACTCAAACTTGCAATCAGCGCATTTTGATGGAAAACTCCCCTTCGCTTTGGCTTGGCAGAAAAATACTGCTTCTCCCCCAGAGCAGCATGCAGTCTCACTAGGGAAATGGAACCCCATTAAGAAAATCACTAACCCCACAAGACGGTCCAGGCCCACTTCCATGTCAGTGGTACTGACGATCCCACGGGAAGAGCTAGGTAGAAGGGATCCTGTAGAAGGGACGGTCATGGAAGGCCTTTGGGAGGATTGCGGGCTCTTGAGGGATGGCCGTGATCTGGACACATCGAGAGGACCAGCAGGACAAGCTGGAATCAGGCCCTGCGTGAACTAAGGCAGATCCGTGATATGGGTGGGTTCAAGTTCAAGTGGGCAGGCCCGTTTTGTAGACGTCATTGAAGGCCCTGCGTTAGGTCCTATGGCCTGGACTTGGGGCGGCGGGGTCTCTTCTGTAGGAGGCACACGGGAGAAAGAGCTGAGAGGCACTGGGACATGGCTGTCTGTTCCCATTATGATTGTTCCGAAGAGGATTGGAGGTGATGGAGGCCTGCCAAGGGGCTCAGGGGAGGCGAGAGGAAGCAGGGGGCGTCAAAGTCGCGCTGCGTTTCCATCTGGGGCAGTAGGAGGAAGTGAGGAGAGGGAGAATACTCCGCTGAGATGTTATCTGTGAGTCTGGGCTGACTCGTGTCTCCTATGATCTGTCCGTGTCCATCCTGGTGGGTCAGTACTGGCTGTGCATCACCCCTGGGTAGGATTCTGAGAAGGAAAGAGGACTTTAGGATCACCGTCAAGCCACACTGCTCGTCTGAGCATCAAGAGCTTCAAAGACCCAGAGAAAATGTTAGTTCACACCTGTGTGTGGGTCACAAACTGTCCACCCTCCACGAATACAGGGTTTTTCCTTAGTTTTAAAGAAGCAGAGAACTGTGTCTTTTTTATATATTTGAAGGGAAAGAATCACTGAAACTCCAAAACAAAGAGTAAACCCTCATCATTTCTGTTATGTTTGAAGGTCAGCCTACTAGTTTTTCTAGCATTTGTACGAGTCACTAAAAAACCTACTACAAAAAAAGACTAAAACTGTTTAAAGCCACTTTCAATGAAACTTTGTATAACAGAACTAAGACAAGGGCAAAAGTTCCTTACGGGCTCTCCAGGCGCAGCCCTGTGCAGTGGGGGCGGGGGCAGAGGACGGCCGGTGCCCTTGGGCAGGGGCTTAAGTGGGATTAAATGCTCTAATTGGACTAAAGAGGTGAAAATGTTGGGCATTACAAAGGAGGACTGGAGCGATGTGGAGTTCACGCCATCCCATGAACAGAATTCACAGGGCAGTAAGTTTGTGTATGGGAAGCCCTGGGCTCCTGATTGGGGGTGCTGGGTAAGCCCCACGCGCTCAGACCTCGGAAGCAGTTTGATGTGAGCACAGCTATGCCAGGTCATTGCGGGGGCCATCACAGCCAAACTCGATTAGTGGGAACTAAACTTGTCAACAGGCCAAACTATGTTTCTCCTAGCTCTGAAATGGCAAAGAAGTTGGTTGATACAAAGTATTTGTCCAAAGAAAATGATTCCATGACTGTTTCTAGCCTCTTTCCCTCTTCCATGCCCCCATTCATCTCCATCTCCATCTCTGTCTTTGTCACCATCTCTGCCTCTGTCTCCATCTCCACCTCGGACTCCCCCTCTGTCCTCATCTCCATCTCCGTCTCTGTCTCTGTCTCTGCCTTCCTTCCTTTACTCCTCTTCTCTGAGGGGAGATGAAATGATCCACCACCATTGACGACCTATTAGAATGCAATCGTCTTCCTGCTCCACAGAGTAGTGCAGGCTGGGTAGCCAGCCTGGGCAATATTTATCTTATTGTGCAGCAAATGATCTCAGGTGATTACATTTTTTATAGATTAAAGACATTTTTGTCATTTTTAATGTCTTACTACTAGTACTTTATGAAAAGCATTTGAGATCATGTTGGCATACGTTTTACAACAAGAACAGCTTCAGTGGTATTTAATGGATAACTTATTACTAAGAAAGAATTCTTTATGCTTGCTTTATCTTTTGATTGGTGGTGCTATCTCTGAGCATTTTGCTACATACAAAGCAGTGTGAGAAATAATAAGGATGATAAATAATAATAATGAATATTTTGCTGATTAATTGTGAAGCCTTAAGAATCACTACGAGAATAAGAAAGGTGTCATTTGTCAACAAGGGAGAAACAGAGCATGGTTTGCAAAAGGATTCCTTAAAGCATAACTATGAGAAAACCCGAACTGATATTTACTTACACGAGGGCTTAGAAACTCTATTTATGCTTTGTAGGATGCAGTAAGTTCACTTAAGATGTGACTTATAAGAAACGTTATCATATTGATAAGATGTCTCAAATTTGAGGAAGAAAAATGACACCTAAAATTTAACTCAGTTTACCTTCAAATGCCTTGAAAAACTAGCATCTGCTCTGTCCAGTTTCTGATGGAACTGCTCTCGGGGACCAAGGCTGAATGTCAGGTGGAGCTACTGTCACAGCCCGTCTTCAGCCTCAGGCACGTCCCCACGTCCTCCCCATTAGATGCTCTGGATCTGGGTCAGTGGGCTGAGGAAACTCTGTAAAGAATGATGAATGACACATTACAGTAAATCCGGTGGTAATCTCCCAGGCTTTCTGATGGGAAGAAATGCACATCTCGAGAGTCACCCTTGTCCTCTACTATCCCATCACCTTGATTCTGAAATCCCTTCCCTTTAGGGTTTCCAGGTAAATAGAGGATGTCCAGGTAAATTAGAATTTCAGATCAACCATGAATATTTTTTAATATAAGTATATCCCAAATATTGCATGGGAAATATTGATCTGCAATTCAAATTTAACTGAATAACTTCTATTTTTAGTTGCAAAACCTGGCAACCCTATTTCTATTGTCTGTTCATTGCAGAGAGCCGACCAAGAGGTTCCTGGGAAATAGCTCACTGTTTCATCACTGATAGTCACATTGGACAACAGCTGAACCACACGACCCTGCGCTGGGAGTCACAGAGGGTGAAACAGAAAAAGGAGACCCCACTTTCTGCCCCAGGGAGCCTGGAGAAGGAGAACGGTACTGCAGTCAGCAAAACGGGATTGTGGGCCGGGCCTGCATTTCCCATGCAATTCTATTTGTAAGTCACAGAAGTTGATACTTTTATTCCTGTTCAGGACTAACAGGGAAGAAGCAGTAGGGCCAAACTCTGGACAACACTCTTTATATGTGAGGACCGTGCTAGGTCACCTGCCGCATGTCACATATGAGGACAGCGCTCAATCACTTGCCGCATGTTACCTGTGAGGATTGTGCTCCATCACCTGCTGAGTGTGTTACCTGTGAGGACTGTGCTCCATCACCTGCTGCGTGTGTTACCTGTGAGGACTGTGCTCCATCACCTGCTGCGTGTGTTACCTGTGAGGACTGTGCTCCATCACCTGCTGCGTGTGTTACCTGTGAGGACTGTGCTCCATCACCTGCTGCGTGTGTTACCTGTGAGGACTGTGTTCCATCACCTGCTGCGTGTGTTACCTGTGAGGACTGTGCTCCATCACCTGCTGCGTGTGTTACCTGTGAGGACTGTGCTCCATCACCTGCTGCGTGTGTTACCTGTGAGGACTGTGCTCCATCACCTGCTGCGTGTGTTACCTGTGAGGACTGTGTTCCATCACCTGCTGTGTGTGTTACCTGTGAGGACTGTGCTCCATCACCTGCTGCGTGTGTTACCTGTGAGGACTGTGCTCCATCACCTGCTGCGTGTGTTACCTGTGAGGACTGTGTTCCATCACCTGCCGCATGTTACCCGTGAGGACTGCACTCATTCACCTGCTGTGTGTTGCGTGTTTGGGGACTGCCAACATACCATCTTACTGTCTGTTTCCCTAGGTCCAGTGTTAACTCCACACCGATGTTTAGAATTCTCTTCTAGAAAGACATTTAGTTGGCTAACAGGAGACAACCCTGGGGTAAAACAAAACAGGAAAATGTAGGAGCTAATGTCCCTCGTGTGAGGGACCCTGGGCAAGTCATTGGGCAACACTGCTCTGAATTGTATAGAAACGTCAAGAATCTTAATGTCCCAGCGAGGCATCATGACGTCTGTGGAGCTGGGCACAGGGGGCGCATTCAACAAAAAGGGGAGAAGATGCACCAAAGGGAAACTTTACATGTTTCACCCAGTGCTTGCCCTGGAAGGAGACGCTTGAGCTTAGGGTGTCACAAATGAAAACCTTTTTAAAAGTCCACTAACCAGTGCAGAGGTGTCGGGAGAGTGTCTTTCCCAGGCAGGCTCTGTGTGGAAATCCAAGGCACTGAAAATAGTACAGAATTCAGCAGGGGAGAGCCAGGCCCTGGGAATAAGGGCAGAGAGATCAGCGAGAGGCGAAAGTCAAGGATGGCTTCCTGGAGAAGCAGGGGCTGTCCCGGGGCTTTGGTTATGAGACCACTAAAGGGAAATACCTTTAGAATAGACTGAGGGAAAAAACCTGCAAAGGGACCACAGGAATCCCCTAGTATATAAAATACTTTCCCAGAGAAAAGAGTCATTAAAAGTTTAAGATTTGTTCCATTCAAGAGCTTCAGTATGCATTTACTCTGATGAGTAAATTAATGTTTTGGGGGGGGGGGGTTTAAGTATTTGTTTACAAATTCTTACTAACACAACCACTTTTAAAATATAGCACTAAAGGGTCATTTGCTATTCATTCATTCATCCATTCATTCCTCATACTGAAAGTGTCCCCTGGTGTCATGGCCTGGGGAAGCTGTGGGACTCAGTGTTGGCTGGATGCGATTGCCACCCCTGCCTGCACGAATTTAAGCGTCCAGATTAGGGACCTGCACACTTTTTCTGTAAACGGCACAGTGGCAAATACTTTGGGCTCCGTGGACATATGGTCTCTGTCATAGCTCCTCATCTCTGCCATGGGAGGGTCAGGCAGCCAGATGCCCTCTATGAGTGAACAAGCAGAGCTGTGTGACAATTAGACTTTATTTATGGAACTTAGAAATTGAATTACATGTAATTTTCACGTATCATGAAGTATTTTTCTTCATTTGACTTTTTCAATCTTTTAAAAATGTAAAAACCATTCTTAGTACACAGATGATAAAAATTCCAAGAGGCTGGACTGATATGAGTGATTTTAATATCCTCAAGGAGACTGTAAGCTCCTCAAGCGTGGGCCCAGCTGCAGCCCCTGCAACACCCTACACAATGCAGGTGTGCCCACTGCAGGTGTGGACACAGTGCAGGTGTGGACACAACGCAGGCGTGCCCAGTGCAGGTGTGCCCAGTGCAGGTGTGGACACAACACAGGCACTCCCAGTGCAGGTGTGGACACGGTGCAGGTGTGGACAGTGCAGGTGTGGACACAGTGCAAGTGTGGGCAGTGCAGGTGTGGGCAGTGCAGATGTGCACAGTGCAGGTGTGGACAGTGCAGGTGTGGACAGTGCAGGTGTGGACAGTGCAGATGTGCGCAGTGCAGGTGTGGGCAGTGCAGGTGTGGACAGTGCAGGTGTGGGCAGTGCAGGTGTGGACAGTGCAGGTGTGGGCAGTGCAGGTGTGGGCAGTGCAGATGTGCATAATGCAGGTGTGGGCAGTGCAGGTGTGGACAGTGCAGGTGTGGACAGTGCAGGTGTGCACAGTGCAGGTGTGGACAGTGCAGGTGTGGATAGTGCATGTGTGGGCAGTACAGGTGTGGACAATGCAGGTGTGGATAGTGCATGTGTGGGCAGTACGGGTGTGGACAATGCAGGTGTGCACAGTGCAGGTGTGGGCAGTGCAGGTGTGGACAATTCAGGTATGGGCTGTACAAATGTGGACAATGCAGGTTGGGCAGTACAGGAGTGGACAATGCAGGTGTGGGCAGTGCAGGTGTGGACAATGAAGGTGTGGACAATGAAGCTGTGGGCAGTGCAGGTGTGGACAATGAAGGTGTGGACAATGAAGCTGTGGGCAGTGCAGGTGTGCAGTTGTTGGTTGGACACCATGAGACTGACCAGGGCTGTTCCCAGGCCCTCACCGTGGAAAGGGCTGTGATGTGTGCATCCCACGGAGACAGATGAGGGGTCAGCCTCGCACATCCCTCCCTGCGTGTTCCAGAGCCTGCACCTCCCCGGACAGGCACGCCGAGCCATGAAATGAAGTTGCAGAGATGAGGAACACTGAGAGTGTGCTGCTTGTGGCCTGGCAGAGGCACATTGGAGAGAACGTGCGCAAGATAAACATGACTCTCGAGATCAGAGACACGCCACTCGAGCGCGGATGGTGAATTGTCGTGGATTAAGATGCAGATGAGTGATTGCTGGGCAGAAAGCCAGACGCGAGGCTAGACACAGAGAGGCTTGTAGATTGCCATTTGTGGATGGCTCTGATTGATTTAAACAGAGGGGAAATCAACTGATTTCTTGAGAGCAGAAACTCTAATGTATGCTTAATTTGGGCTCCCTGCAAAGCAATTTGCCTGGTGCTCCAGACCGGTCTGGCCACCCTGGGGGTGGGCGTCTTGTCTCTCGCTGTTCTCTCCTCCTGGTGCACTCCCTCCTTACTGGGTCCCTTACCAGGGCTCCCCAGTATCCCCTGCTGAGGCCCTCCTCAGCTCCTTCTCAGGCAATGCCCCTCACCCTGGGCTTGTCCCGATTCTCTCCTCTCCCTTCCTCCTGCCCATGCTTCAGGGCTCCTGCACCTGCCAGGGCTGGCCTGATAACCAGGGAACGTTTGCCTCTTGTTGGAGGATTTGCATGGCCTTGGCCTGGCGCTACACTGTGGGCCTGGGGTCCAGAGGCCTTGACAGTGCCACTCACATCCCACAGGGAGGTGGCAGCCTACTCCAGCTCCAAAAATAAGACTATGCCTACATCTGGGTGCCACTGTTCGCCAGGTGTCTCAATGACACAGGGGGTGGCTCCAGAGGGAAATGAGAAAATGCCTCCAATGAGCCCTGGGATGATGTCTGCCCTTTGACGGGTGAGTAATGGTGATGTGTGGTCCTGCTGACCACCGTGAGCATCCACCTTCCTGACCAGCACACGTGGAGTCAGGTTAGGACCTAATGCCAACAGCAAACCCCACTTGATGGGGGAGAGAAGAACATGAAACGCATGTTACATGAGCAACTTGGCTGCCGCTACAAAGTCAAAGATGGAAGTTAGCAAAGATTAAAGGGAATCTTGAGAAGCTGAAAGAGATGACCTCGGGCAGCGCAAAGAGGCACGGCTGCGGGAGGAGGCGGCCTCTGGACTGGGTCCCGGCACGATGTTCAGGAGGAGGCTTCTCAGGAAGGACACCTGTGTTCTCAGGTGAGCGGCTGCCCTCGGACGCAGCCTGTTGAGCAACCAAGAACAGACAGTGTGCTCCTGCTGTCTTAGGAAAGGAGCCAGCAGTGAGAAATAAGTTCAGAGTTGGTCAACATCCAGCAGCTACTGTTCTCTGCATCATCTAAGAAGTCCTGAGGATACTCCAAGCTAGTGGCCCAGAGCTTCTGGTGTTCAGAGATGAGGGCCTGGCGGAGGGTCGAGTTTACCGAGATTGTAGGAAATAGACTGCCCGTGGGAGGGGCTGGAGCAGGGGGCGCAGGTGACTTGCCTTTGCAGAAGTCCACTGTGGTGGGGGGAGGGAGCTGATGTGTTGACAGTGGGGGTGGAAATATCCCAGATGGGACAGGTGAAGGGGCGTGGGAGTTCTCACAAAATGGCACACGAGTTTCTCTTTGACGTTCTGCTCCTGCCCCACCTGGCAGAGATTCGGAAGCTGGGCAGCCAGATCAAGGAATCACATGTGTGCCCTCGGGCGAAACCACTTTCTTTCTCCTCTGTCTGTAGTGTCTGAAGACGGGAACAGAGGCAGGAGCAGCGTAACCCATAAGTGCATTTTCAGGGCGAGCTTCCTGCTTCAAGAACCACTGGATTTATCACAAGGGAAGACTTAGGATTTTCACTAAAGGAAAAATACGGCTTTCGCAGAACCTACAGCAATAGTAGTTGTCACATGTGTCTAAATATCTCTGTATTGATTGATATCGCCGCATCGCTGACTGGGCGTAGCCAGTCTCCCTTGCTAGGTCTGTATCTGGAACCAGCACAGGGTGGTCCTTAGCGATCACTCAGCCTGGAGGTGGAATCCAGATGGGCAGCTCTGACGACACAGTGGCCTCCTCCAGGGCTTGCCCTGACTTTCATGCCCTTCATCGTAGCTGCTGGTCCATAACGTCTCCCACCCTAAAATCATGTCCATGATCCTGTGACTGTACCAGGAGACAGAAGGGTGGGGTGGCTGAGGAGGTCTGGCAGAAACGTGGGAGTTAGAGCGCTCTGCCCAACCCCAGATCCGGGGCTCAAGCCCTCACCCCGGGCCCCCACCTGCGTGCCCGCTGCCTGCTGCCATCCTCCAGTTGTCTGGGGTCTGGCCCCAGGAAGAGGGGGATTTAGTTTGTCCACGTGTCCATTTGTTCATCTAGTTTGTACATATTTGTTGGGTCTACTCTGTGCAAGGCCACCATTAGCTCATTAATGGTTTCTGCCCTGTGCGTCCCCCGAACAGGCTTTCCTGGACCGTGAGCTGGGGTGCAGGAGCCAGGGCCAGCAGGGACGGTGGCCTGTTGGTACCACCTTCACACTCTCGTGGGAACGGGGGCAAGGAAACCCTCCCTGTCCTCCTCCACGCTTGTCCTTGGGTCGTAGGTCCTCGCCAGCTGGCGTGGGTTCTTACCCCAGCTTTCACGGGCTCGCCACAGTGTTCTTCCCCAGAGATCTTTAAGCAAAGTGCTCTGAAAGTGGACGTGTGTCATCTGCAGAAGCAGTTTGGTGGTGGGGCACTGCCAGCACTGCTAATGGTGGTGTTGAAAGTGCTTTAGACACTCGCCTGCCTGCAGGAGGCAGAGGGGACGAGCTGGCGGCCGCTAACACACCCGTTCCTCCATCTTTAGGACTTTGGTCCTATAACACGTAAAGCATGCCATCAGACTCTACAAGACGGGGGCAACGTCCACCCTGGTTGTCAGAGTACTGTCTTTCAAGCCAGCTTTGTCCTCCCAGCCCCAGGCGTACGACCTTGAAGGGACTGCGCATCCAGTCGCTTTTCTGCTCACTGAGTTTTGCTTCTGTCTGATCACCTGATAAGAATGGGATGACCATGATTTGGGCTGTTTTGATCATTTTAAAACAACCCAAAACAGCAACACAGCATTTGGCTCTGAAATATGCTTTCAATATCATTAGGCTGCTGCTGATTACCTGTAGCAACTGCTTATTAAAATGGAAAAACAAGCACAGTAGATGCTGTCGGCGAGCCAGCTGAGGGACCAGCTGGCCGCCCCGCTCTGCCTTTGGCTGGAGCGCTCAGAAAGCCGGTGAGGACTCAGGCTCCAGGACTGCAGGCAAGGCCTCCGTTGTCTGAGATCTGACAGACACGCTCTGCAGGCGGTTGTGGCTCTTCCCAGGCATGTGGAGTGAGCGGCTGCTTCCCCAGCTTGGGGACGGGTCAATTGCTGAAGATTTCCTGGGGAAGCAGAGTGGAGGGCTGCCCGCACTACCTGTGCTTGTGTGTGCGTGCACGTGTGTGTGCATGTGTGTGTGTGTGACTGGAAGAGGCACAAGGAAAGCCCGCTCCCAAAATACCAGACCCTCCAGCTATTGGTTCATCCTCACCCCACCT